ACAGTTACCAACATCCCATTTATGATATACTTCAGGAATTGGTGCAATGATGAAGCTACGGCACCCGCTGCATGAATTCAAGATCTTCTTAACAACATATTATAGGAAGGGTAAATATCCATAACTTAAAGTGCCACTAGGAACATTTATGGTCCCACATATAGCTCTACTTCTAAAGTTCCAATTATTGGCCGAGGTGAGCCATTATATGCTCTAGCCATCATAGTACTTGACTTAATATAAGATTCATCGATCGACATTTCTTTAAGAATGTGCTTTGGCAACACGTTAAGAGCTGAGCCATTATCGATGAGCACTTGTTTTTTTTTTGTCAAAATTGCCCCCCCCCTTTTTTGTGTTGTAAGCTGCTATTTATTCGATACCTTCAGCATCAAGCTCATCAGTCGTGAAGTATAGGTAATTAGTTGCGTGGATCCTCCCCACAAGATGCTCCATGGTTTTATGTTCAATGTCTTGGGGTACATACACCTCATTCAATACTTTTTGCAAGGCGTTTCGATGCGGCTTAGAGCTGAGTATTAAGGACATAAGGGAGATCCTAGCTAGAGTCTTTTTTAGTTGATCTACTATGCAATATTCACTATGCTTGATCAACTTTAAAAATTCGTTCGACTCCTCTTCCGTTATTGGCTTATTAACTTCTAGTGCTTTGTTAAGATCTATCACTTCTTTGCCCTTTGTCTTTTGCAACTCTTCAGGTGTAAAGCATTGACCACTCCGAGTTAAACCACTAACCTCAGTATGGAACAAAGAAACAGGAGTTTGAATGTGGGAGGCATAGCCGTAATTATAAGGCATGACATTGTGATTTCCTTTTGTGCAAAAAGGTTTAACCAAGATTAGCCTAAGTGGCCCATTAGCTGTTTGTTGGACCCTACATACTCCTGTCATCTCATCTTGACCTTCCATCATACTTACCTCACCTCTGCTCTCCATGGGCTCAATCCTCAGTTCAATCCTTAACTCTCCCATTTTCAGCATTGTTGCAATCTTCTCGCAAAACTCGATGCAATCCTCAATATGATGTCCCTTTCTTTCATGGAATTCACAGTAATCATATCCCTCTGACACGACTAAAAGATTGATGTCTTCTCCCAAGTGCAGGAGTGTCGAAGTAAAAAATAACCCGGCAAGACCGGGGTCGAACCACAAGGAGGTTAATTGTACAAATTATAAACAACCAACCTCTTCATGGACACCTTCAAAGACTCGCATTGATTTCCAACTTTTATCATGCCTACTCCACTACTACTTGGGGCGTGTTTAGGCAAAGGGTTTGAATTAACATTGGGCTTGTCTTCGAAGGATACCCATCCTATCTTAATAAGCTCCAACAACCTCTTCTTGAAAGCGTAGCAGGTTTCAATCCCATGCCTGAGATTACCCGTATGGTACTCACAAGTCAACTCGGGCTTGTACCAAATTGGGAATGGTGGTTGCAATGGTAGTGCAGGGATAGGAGCTATGTGTCCAATACTCAACAGTTTGGCATACAAGTCCTTCAAAGGCATAGGTAATGGCGGCAGTTGTTCTGGAGTATATCTTGCAGTCGGTCTTTGGTGGTTTTTTGTTTGATTAGAGGAAAAAGGTGGGCTAATGTTCATATGGGTGAATTGGGAGGAAGGTATTTGTGGATTATAAGAATCTACTCTCTTGCCCTTGTATCCACCTTCCAAGTTGTTAACGTCACCTTCCCTCTTTCTTCCAATAAAACCCCTCTTCTCCAATGGCTCAGCTATACGCCCAGCTTTAATCCCTTGCTCTATCCTTTTAGCTATGCGCACTACATCGTAGAAATGCTGAGATGAGCTACCCATTAAATGCTCATAATAAGGTGCCTTGAAGGTATTAGCAAACAAGGTCACCATCTCAGTTTCTATTAAAGGGGGTTGGACATGTGTTGCCTCATCCCTCCATCTTTGTGCATAGGCCCTTACTGACTCTTGGCTCCTCTTCTCCATTGACATTAGATTTGTTCGATCCAGAGCGATTTCCAGGTTAAAATTGTACTGCTTAAGAAAAGCCTCCACCAAATCTCTCCAGCTCCTGATCCAGATGTTGTCTAACCTCATGTACCAGCTCAAAGCAGATCCTGCTAGGCTATCTTGAAAGAAATAGATTAGCAATTTATCATCACGGATTACTTCCGCCATTTTATTACAGTAGGATCGAAGGTGAGTGTTTGGGCATTCCAAACCAGTGTACGTAATGAACTCTGGTATCCTAAAATCTTTTGGCACCACGATGTTTGGCACCAAACAAACTTCCGTGGCTCGCATAGGGTCAAACCAGTCATTACCCTCAACTGCTCTTAATCTTTCTTACAAAACAAGCAACTTGTCTTGGTCCATCAAACTAGGAGACCTATTGTCAGGGACTCCCTCCGCGGTTAAGTCCACAGTAATTGGAGCATGAGTTGGCTGAATAGGGGTGATAGGCACAAAATGTTGTTCATTAGCTGAGTTTGCCCCCTGGTTTTGAGATGCTTGAGGGATGTGAGCTGGTGGCACTCCTTCAAGCTGTTGTGCTGATGTTCCCTCCCTATTCTTAGTTCTTAGAAGCTGCTCGAGTAAGTCGGTTAGCCGAGAAACTTCATTTTTTATGGACTCTAACTCGGTCTGATAATGTGACTCTAAGTGAGCTCTTTCTTCGTTCTCCATTCTCGATCTAGATGGGGTGTGGTGGACTTTGGATGTGGGACCTATGTTTCACGATTTGGGATGCATATGATAAATTAAAAACAAATGTGTGATGAAAATGTGATGCTCGTGCAATGCGTATTTATTTATTTATTTTTAGAGCTGATTCACGACTTTCATAATCCTTTAGGCAAGATTTCTGAGTTGACCTGATTACTATAAAGGAGGGTTTGCCAAGTTCTTATCATAGTAGCTTACCAAAACACATTAGAAAGAAAGATAGGTCATGACCTTTTTATAAAATAGAAATCGCTCATACAATGATAACAAAACAGGGCGTTATACATTGCTATCTTTAAAAGGCATTTCTTCTATTAGCTAAGTCTCCAATAAAACAGGTGATGGCCGCCATGTATTCTTGATACTTTGAAGCATCATTTCCAACTTGGGTAGCTTGTTATTGCAACCTTTCCGCATAACGAGCTGCTTGCTCAACCTGCTTCGTTACATGCCTTATCTTATCATGGAACACGGTGTTATCTGTGATTATCACTTCACTGCTGGCTCCTAAGGCTTCATTACTTCTTTCCAACACTCGAACCATATTTTCTAACCGGGCCAACTTATCCCTTACCCTCTGCAGTTCTTCCTTTTTGATATCTAGCTCAGCTATTTTGGAGTTAATTTGAACTGCAAAGTTGTCCATGTAGTCTTGACATTCTTGACGTTCTTGCTTAGCTTTACTCAGCTCCTCTTCCATCTCAAAGTAATGGCTTCTCAACTCTCTCAACTCCTTTTCTCATATCCCAATCTCATATTGTAAAGCCATCATTCTTCCTTTCGAAGACTCGGCTCTCTTCTGGTAATCTCTCATATCAGACTCGACAACCTTTCTTGAACTTCTCTCTTCCTCAAGTTGCATCATATATTGAGCTCTGATCCTTCTTTCCACCTACAAATTCCTAGTTTTGAGATGCTTGAGGGATGTGAGCTGCTAGTGCTCTTTCAGGCTGTTGTGCTGATGTTCCCTCCCCATTCTTAGCTTTTAGAAGTTGCTCGAGTAGATCAGTCAGCCGAACAACTTCATTTTTTATGAATTCCAACTCGGTCTAATAATGTGACTCTAAATGAGCTCTTTCTTCGCTGTCCATCCTTGATCTGGACCGGGTATGGTGGACTTTGGATGTGAGACTATGTTTCTTAAATCTTCTTCATTATAAGTCCTTTTCCTTTTTTATTACTCTATTGCTGATTCTGGATGTTTTGGTGTTGCGAAACCTCTCACTTCAGAAAGCTCATTATTCCTCCAAACCATATAATTCTGGCTGAATGATGTTTCAAAACTGCTTTGTTCTTTCCTTTTTACCATTAGAGGTCTTTCCCAGTCTTGTCGGATAAGTTCCATCTCTTCAAGGAAAGGTTGGTGTTTGAACAAACTTATGAAGTCGGCTAAACCTAAAGTTCTTGGTGTGTAATACATTCCATCCAACTGCCTTGTTACAAGTGCGGGTGTATAACTAATGTATCCAGTTACACCGATCAAGAGAACCCAGATCTTGCTTCCACAACTCATTGTGCAGATAACGTTGTTCATCCATGGTCCTTTCCATTTGAAGTTACTCCTTGGCAATGTTGTATATTTATCTATCCATGCTTTCTCATCCTAGTTCTTCTAAGTCTCATCTATGGTAACTTTTAATAGTCGCAGATCAAACCACTAGAAGTTGTTAAAGATGTCCCTTGGTGTTTCGATATGATTGATAATTTATAAATACAACATAGGAATGCAACCTCTCATGGATCCTTTTCCATGCATTCTGCAAGGGTTGAGTGATAACATGGTTTCTCTAAAAATGGATGAAAAGGGATTGATTCGGTTATGCTTGTATTCTATAAAGACATTTACAGCTTCTAAACTGATGACTCTGATTTTAGATGGGAACAATATTAGTCTAAAGATGACGATGACTACCAACCTATATCATTCATCTCCTAACTTGCCTTCTTCAGCATTTTTCTTCATTCGGGCTTTAATGACCTTCCATTTAAAATCCCATTCGGCGACTCTACATTGGCTAATCTTTCCCAGGCCTAATAAACTAACTACCTCTAAAGTTGTGTCTTTAATTTTTCACCTAAGGTAGATCTTGTGGCTATTGTTTGGAAAATCTAGAATCCTATTGTATTCCTCCGAGGTCGGTGTCATCAATGTTCCCAAAGGTAAAACACCAATAACTAGGATCCTAAAAATTAAGTAAGGCTTTGATTGCTGCTACTTGTATGGGTAACCACATTAGTTGTGCAATTCTCCTATATTGCCTTTCAAAAAGAGTCTCATCAACATATTCCATAACAAACAATAACTTTCCTAAGTCATTTACCATGTGATTTATATTGGTAATGTGAGGCAACCCACTAGCATCGATTCTTGGACATTTTCCTTCAGCTACCTGAGTCAACTCAGATTCTTGCCCAAACTCTTGGAAAGATAGGTACTTAGCCATGATTTTAACTCAAAACTGGGATTGATGAATTTAACATTATGAATCATGATGCAAATGAACGTAAGATACATATCCTAAGGATAAGCTCTATTTATTAAGTGAGAACGGGTAGGTTTTCTATCTGGTCTTGAAGGGTCTCATATTTTCCCAATGACGTTCTTCGTAAAGATAGTATGGGGCATTGCAAGGAACAATTAAGGCATGTATGCCCACCATTACCAAGCAGGCTCTCAGATATGAGTTGGGTATTTAACGCATCTGAACCCTGACTAATAGTCATAGGGCAAATCATTAATCCCCCACCTAACTTAAGGCTTGTGTGTGCTTCTCAAAATCAAAGTATGTGATGCATATGACAGTTCTATAAGATGCATGAGACAATTCTATACAATGCATGAACAATATGTGTAAAATATTTAAAGCACAAAAGCAGATAACAAAAGGAAATGCATCTTAACAATAAACACACGAAACAAAAACAAATCAGACAAAAACAAAGCTTAGTCCACAAGATCCCTAGTGGAGTCGCCATTTTGTCACACGTGTGTGGCGTAGCGGCGAGTTTTCCACTTTTATCTAGAAATGTATAATATCTAATGGCAAATATAAGGGGACAAGAAAATCTAGTCTTTTGATGGTGAAAAATGGAATGGGAGCCACCACCTAGTATTTTGGTCACTAGGAACCCTAACTGGTCTTAGAGATTGGGTACGGGGACTGGTTGCGTAAAGGAAAGGTATTAGCACCCCAAATACGCCCTACCTAAGGTAAGCTGCATTGTTTTATTGTTTGATAAAATCTAAGGTCTTGTCGTGTTTTCTAGTTGTTGGTCTGGTTTAAGAAAAGTCCTCCTCAGTAAGGAGATCCTTATCTTATTAGGTAATTCTAACGTCAATAAAAGAATTTAATATCCAGAATGCGTCTTACGTATAAGATCGTAACCTCAAATATTAAAACAAAACAGAATAATTTTTTTTGTAATTTTTGAAATATTGGCCTAGTTCTTATGGCTTGAATAAACCGGTTATTAAAGCCAAAATGCATGCTAATACATATATTTTTTTGGGATTTTCTTTGTTGTATGAAAATATGATGTGATGATTTTATATATATATATATATATTGGAGAGACTAGGCCGTATGCATGAAAACAAAACATTTTTATTTTTTTGATGACTTAACAAAAACCGAGTATTTTAATACCGGATTTGTATCTTTACAGTATAAAAATACAAACCGATATTGATCAAAATGCAATAACAAAACTTGCGAAAAATCATAGATTCTTTGAAATAATTTTTGAAGAATTTTTATTTTATTATTTTTTTTTGTAAATTTCACTATTCATGTGAAATATAATTCACGTGAATAGTAACAATAGCATTTCACTTGAACAGTAAAATGCAAGGAAATGGTGCAGGCACAGCGACGAGTGGGGGTGGACAAACCTAGTGGCAGAAACGATGTTGATGACGATGGCAGACACTCCCAGTGATGCTGGTGGTGGTGTTGGTGGCCGGTTTGGGCTGTGGCGTTGCTGCGGCGTTGCTGCGGCGGTGGCTGGGGAGCCCGATTACTGCAGCTGTTCTTTCTTCTTCTTCCCTGTGCAGAGGCGTTGCTTCTTCTCTTGGTTTCTTTTGGTCCCTCTGTTTCCATTTGGTTCTTCTCCTCTTGATCTCTAGTGTTTCCTTCTGTCAGTTGTTCGTCCTCTTCTATGTACGATGGTCTCTCCTCTCGGTCGTCCCCTCACTGTCTCATTGTATTTTTTTCCTTTTCATTATGCAGTGCTGGGATGGGGAGATGATGAGCTGGAAGGATGATGATGGAGTGGGCAGTGCTGCTACGTTTGTATTTCCCTCACTCTATTTCAGAAATCCTTTCCTTCCCTTCTCTATGTTCTCTCTTTCAAACTTCTCTCGTTCATACTTCTCTCCCTCATTCAATTTTTCAAAAGCTTTTCCTCCTCTCTCTGTTCTTTTTGTGTTTTTGGGTGCTATTTATAGAGCCAAGGAGCGAGGCTCTTTACTATTGCGCATAGGGAGCAGGGTATGCGGCGGCTGGTCGGCTAGTGGGCGCGGTTCCCTTGGTTTTTGCAGGGCACGCGGCGGGTGGTCGGCCAGTGGGCGCGGCTGGCAAGGCGTGGCTCCCTCGGTTTTGGCAGGGCATGCGGTAAGAGAGAGATGTAGCAAAATTAAGGAAGAAAACAAACCTTTTCTTTCTTCCCCTGTTGCACGTCCAGGGGAAGAAGAAAGAGGAACAATGTTGTTCAAAACGACACTATTTTGATTTTTTCTTTTCTTTTCTTTTTTAAATTTTTTATTATTTATTTTCTATTTTCGTGGGGGGTCCAAAATGGGTTACAACAGTTACCATTCTTACGTCCATATATGCTAAGCCCATTAAAACCACAGCCTTATTTGACACAGGAGCCCATAAAACCATTCTTAACCCTAAAGTTCTTCCATCTCGTTGTTGGGTCCCATATAAAGAATACTTTCGAGCTGCAGATAATCAGGT